TTTTTAACCCAGTGAAGAGTACACCCATCTAGGCCATGAACCACCAGCTTCTCCAGGAGAATGCTATGGGAGACTGTGTCGAAGGCTTTGCTAAAGTCCAGGTATACAACATCCACAGCCTTTCCCTCATCTACCAGGCAGGTCACCTGGTCATAGAAGGAAATCAGGTTGGTCGCAAGCCCTCAGGTGGTGCACAGGGTGGGGTCCTTCAAACGAGGGGACGGTTCGGTTCTGGGGGGAGCGGGGTGGCTGCCACGGGAGGGGGCGGCAGCGTTCCCGGCTGGAGCTGCTGAGCCCACCAGGGCTGCAGCCCCCTCTGGCCCTGGCCTGCAGACGCGGAAGCCACCCGCCACCAGCACTGGCACTGGTAAAGTGCTGGTGACTGAACAACAGTTAAATCAACGTGAATGTGCAAATTAAGTACAGCTGAGGTAACTTCGGGGCCAGCCTCACAGGTACACCCGACACAGACTTGCAGGAAGAACCTGAAAGACATCAGTTTTTGCTTTTGAATTAAGAAAGGATTTAAGACAATAACGCTACGGAAACACAGCCTAGAGCCACAAAATGAGATGGGGTCCAATGACCCCTTCCCTCCCACGCCAAGCGTGCTGTGGCTTTAGTTACAGCATCAGGAGGACACAACATCAAGTTTCTTCATAACCTCAATTTGTTCTACTAGATTCAAGTGTTGATGCATCTGGTTTATGCTAGAATAAATGCTTGCATCCAAGCAGCCAGTGGAGCTGGCCCTTTTGGCATCAGCAGTTACTGAAATTTAGAAAGCAGCATCTCCTTTGGAATGTCTGACAAAACCAATGGGAAGCACTGTGAACACACAGAATGATTGCACACGCAAAAGTAATTTAGATAAACCTGAATTATTACCTCGGTATTAGGATATAGCTCTATTCATGTAATACCCAAATTCTTACTTGTTTAACAAAACCCAATGCAAATACATCCACTGTTGTATCACAGACTACAAGACTATTAATCACCTTTGTATTTCAACTAGGGAATCTTATACAACACAATGGAAGTTACTTCCAAGGCTTTCACATGCACGTTACGGTTGATGTCCGAGAGGGAACGTGCTGGTGCTGTCAGAAGGGAGGACTGCAGCCACTGACACCTGGCAGTGACACGGATGTTCTTCCCGGTGGAGAGACGCTCCACGCCAGCCAAGCCTCGATACAAGAGGGTCAAACACCACACTTGTACACTTCAGAAATGTGTAGCATGGGGAATCGATCATGCCCCAGTGGGCAAGAGTCAGCAAAGCTCAGGAAGTGGGTTTTATTTGGCTTTTTATCTATAAAAAAATTCCAAGGATGCACACATCCATCCCGAGTTACATTTCTTTCCTCTCCCCGCTCACCCTACATTCGGCATGCTAGCAATTCCAAAGTTCTTCATACCTTACATCTGAGTTTGATGCAGCAAATGCTTCTTGTATAAAAAAGCCCTTGCTAAGTTTAAAAAAACAAACAAAAAAATATCTGAAAAACATCCAGTATTAAACTCTGGCTCACTGACACGCAAAATGATCCTTTTCAATGATCACACAAGTTCATTTTCAGGCACTCCACTTCAGGACATTACCACAAAAAAAAAATTCCTGTTTTATTGCTCTATGCAGAATAATATCCCACTCTAAATTTAAGCTCTATGTGCAGTTATTTACCATAAGAAATTTAAAAAAGAAGAAAACATATTACCAAGTTTTATAAGCGCTCTTTAAAAAGCAAAGGTAGTCTTCTGTAAAAAATTAATTTTACATCAGCTACATGCCAATGGCAGTTTATAGGAAATTCATAACACAGTGCCTAACTACTCTCTCATATCGTCACACTTGATTGCAGTCTGGTTTTTTGTAATGTTTAAAAGGCAATTCTACCATGCTTTAAGAGTGTCAGGAGCTCAAGCCAATGTTATTTGCAGGCATGACCACAAAAAGAACCACCTTCCAAAATTAAGACTAGTGTAGTCTCACTCAGGAATAATTTGTTCATGAGCTTGTCAAGGTCTGCGGTGTTCAAAATGTCCATGCTGCAACGAAATCTTAATCTTTAAGAATGCTCACCAATGGGCAAAAGACTTAAGCATTCCATTTTGCTGTTGAAATCAATTAAATTCATTCAATTATTGTCAAGGAGGTTTTAATTTTTCATGTCAAGACTTCAGTTGATGGCTAGACAGCCTATTCACAAAGTAGCTTGACTCCTGGCATAACTACAGACACAAAGGAAAAAGAAGGCGGGCAACGGCTGCTGACACTATAGTTTCTCAGAAGGGGCAAGTGCCCCCACATTCTACTTAGCTGAGCAGAAAACAGAACTCATTCAAGAAGCTTGGCTGCTTAAACTCAAGAACGCTGTATAACATCGGTTGACAACTCCTTTCCCCAGAAGGCAGCAACAAGCAACAGTCGCTGTTACTCCTTTCAGCATTCTCAGTTCTTCAAACAATGCTTGTTATGAGATGGGTCTTCTAGAATTATAAACTTTAACACCATTCTGCATTGAGGAGCGAGCGTATTTTGTCAGAAGAGTACCAACCGTCTGCTTCTCTGCACATAAGTCTCTACAGAGGAAATAAAGCAGATGACGCTGGCATTAGAGATATTCTTATACAAAACGAATCCGTGAAATACTTGTAAATATAGCAATAAACTGGATTAGGGTTTCGGGAGAAAAAAAAAAAAATCACTACCGTAATTGTCACATAATACATAGTATAGTATTTGAGGCAGTCATAGCTGATAAGAAGTCAGCAACGCAAAAAGGAAAGAATACAACATGAATTATATTTTAATAAAAAGAAGCATATCCTTACTGTATGTAAGGGGTAATATCCGCTTCTGTCCACTTCTCCCGTATGCTAAATAAGCTGTTAAATCTTTCCTGATTATCTTCAGGCAAGTCTTCTACTTTTAGCAGAAAGATGGTCTCTGGTCTTGAGCTTTTATCCACAAGAGCCAGGCCCTGTAGATCAGCAGAGAGAAGGCATTAAGTAAAGACAAAACAATTAAACTTCCTTCTTTCTGGCAATAGCCCATTAAAGTTGCCCTTTGCACTTCCAAAGCCTTCTAAAACTGCATTACTAGAGGCAAAGTGAAAAAATGTCATAAAGGCGCTGTTTTCCAGGCAGTATTTATCGTTTCCTTTATGACAAGAAGGGAGGGGAAATCCCTTAAGTCCCAACATCTCTCTGCCTCTTTTGAGCGGAAGGATTTCCATAGCACTTGCTACTCTACCGGCTGTCACTACACTCTGCTCAACGATAGCTTCAGCTTCTGTTCTAGTTACATTTACAAGCATTAACCGTACAGCTGCAACTTTTCTTCAAACAGTGAAACATGCCAGAGTTACAGAAACCTGAACTGTCATGATTCCAGACTACCGATGCTCACAGAGGATGTCATAAGAAGTAGTTTAACTCAAAAAGCTGACAGAAATCATAGAATCATAGAATCACTTTGGAAACATAGAATCCCACCACTAAACCATCTCCCTAAGCACCTCATCTATCCTTCTTTTAAATACCTCCAGGGATGAGGACTCTACCACCTCCTTGGGCAGCCCATTCCAGAGCCTGGCAACCCTTTCGGTGAAGAAGTTTTTCCTAATATCTAGCCTAAACCTGCCCTGGCACAGCTTCAAACCATTCCCCCTCGTCCTATTATCTGTTACCAGGGAGAAGAGGCCGACTCCCACCACCCTACAGCCTCCTTTCAGGTAGCTGTAGAGGGCGATCAGGTCTCCCCTCAGCCTCCTCTTCTCCAGACCAAACCACCCCAGTTCCCTCAGCCTCTCCTCGTATGACTAGTGTTCCAGATCCCTCACCAGCTTGGTTGCTCTCCTCTGGACAGTCAATCCCCATTGATTGATAAAACCTACATATGGCACAAGTCAGTTAACAGCCTACTCACAAAAGAATCCATACTTCATGTTTTTACCTTAAGCTGATCAAGCCTTGTCGTCATCCCTTCAGGGACACTTTGTTGCCAGACTTCTTGAAACTCTGATAGATTAAATTTAACTGCATTTTGCAAAAGCATTTGTGCTATAGCTCTGCATATTTTATCTTCACGCATTTCAAAGTAAACCTCCCCTGCTGAGAAACAAAAAACAGGTTCTCTTGGGTTCTTGCTTTTTGATAAAAGAACGAAAAACAGCCTCACATTTCAGTTCTGTTCTACAGCCTCCTACAAACCAAGTATCCTGTTTTTTTTCTCTTCTTCGGGGAGTAACCTGACTTGGTATTTTTCTGGATAAATGATGGTATCTTCTCATTCTCAAGAACAAATTAAGTGGAATATTATGTGCGTGCGCAGCACTGTCTAAGCCACAGTATTCATTCATATCAATAAATGTATTTGCCTCCTATCTTTTCCCCTTTCACAGTAAGACCTTCTCCTACAGCTTTCATTCCTATTTCAGAATGGCTTGTATTAAAGTGTTTGCTCTCTGTGGTTGAACAATTAAAACTTTCACTTCCTTAATGATCCTTATAATAAATAGGAGATGATGAAGGAAATAATGAGAATTTATTTTGTTTCACACTGACTTGGCGAAAAATCTCTGAACAGGCATAAACACTTCACTTTTTCAGTCATCTGGACTTCCTGCAATTCACACTAGTTCCTTGTGCAACCTGCCTAAATATACTAAGACGACAATCTGTGTCACTCCAGCTACTTTCCTACGTCCTTTAAGGTCGAGTGCAACTCCTACTTCAGCCAAAGGAGAGATGAAAGTAACTGCGAGGGAGAATTCAGAATGAGATTAAGGCACTGAAATATTACATCTATATGCAAGATGGGCAACGGAGACTTAATCAGCACAATCAATGGATCTTGTGGTGCAGCGCAAGGGACCAAAGGCAGATGTCTACTTCAGGCAAACTGAGTTCAGGGAGATCTACATGCCACTGACTATTCACAATAGCACAATTAATTGCTTAAGCATCTGAGACCTCCTAGGGTATCTAAAGAGAGATTCCATCTACATTTTATTAGTGATCTGTCTTTAGTCACAAAATTACGTCTTGTAGACACCTATTAAATCACTTCGGATACCTCTGACAGCTCCTGATCTTTCCCTGATGTCTTGTACAGTTTAATAGTCCTTTTTCCTATGAAACTTTCTCTAACATTTTACAGATTTTTAGCTTGCTGTTTGTTCCCTCCTTTTACTGGCATTGTAGCAAATTCATTTGTTTGGGCCATCCTCACAAAATCTGCATTCACTCATGAATAACTGTTTCCTTTACACAAAATTAAAATATGCATGCTTCCCCAAACTTACCATCATCAACGTATTTCTTTCCATAGCTTAAAAGAATATGTTCTATCATCAAGGGACCAAAGGCAGATGTCTACTTCAGGCAAACTGAGTTCAGGGAGATCTACATGCCACTGACTATTCACAATAGCACAATTAATTGCTTAAGCATCTGAGACCTCCTAGGGTATCTAAAGAGAGATTCCATCTACATTTTATTAGTGATCTGTCTTTAGTCACAAAATTACGTCTTGTAGACACCTATTAAATCACTTCGGATACCTCTGACAGCTCCTGATCTTTCCCTGATGTCTTGTACAGTTTAATAGTCCTTTTTCCTATGAAACTTTCTCTAACATTTTACAGATTTTTAGCTTGCTGTTTGTTCCCTCCTTTTACTGGCATTGTAGCAAATTCATTTGTTTGGGCCATCCTCACAAAATCTGCATTCACTCATGAATAACTGTTTCCTTTACACAAAATTAAAATATGCATGCTTCCCCAAACTTACCATCATCAACGTATTTCTTTCCATAGCTTAAAAGAATATGTTCTATCATCTCTCTGAGAAAAAAAAAAAAAAAAAAAAAAAAAAAAAAAAAAAAAAGTCAGAAATAGGACATTACAGAAACAGTTACCAAGAAGAAGATGGAAGGAACAGGTAAAGTAAAAAAATCAAGGAGAATGGAGGATGGGACACATCTTCATGGCCAACATGAATAGATTGATAAAAACTCAGAAGTAAATTAAAAGAGGACAGAAAGGATGGAAGTTAATTCAGCTTGTCACCCCCAAAAGTCTCTTCCACCTTCTATTTTTATAACTAGCAAAGACTAGAAGGCATCAGGGGAATAAGGAAAAGAGACTCTTGCAATGCCACTTCTTTTCAATGAGAAGTGACCCAAGTCACAAATTTGGTAGTTAATTATCCCTTACTGAATAGCAGGCATTTTTCTACACCTCTGGCATAAAATTACAACCTAACTGTAGACTCCAATACCAGAGCAAGTTTTCTTTTTGAGCGAAAAGTCAAATAAATGGAAAATGCTACATATTGTAAACTTAAGACTTTGTTTGAATGGTAATCTTAAATTATTTCACTACTTGAGTACATGCTACTTCCATCATTCACAATTCAGCAGTAATGTTTCTGCTATTGAATCAATGGAAATATTACCAATAGAGACTAAAATCAGTTTACTAACCTGTCTGAACTTCTAATGCCCTTGTACATTTCAGAGGCAAAGAAAATACATCATTAACACCACAGTAACTGAAATCTAGAGTTATAAGACTATAATTCCAATGACTGCAATTAGTAATAGGTAATAATGACTGTAGACAATTTTAAGTAGTAAAAGTAATTGCTTACGTGGGCTCTAAAGGTCCAAGTTCCTCAAGGCAGGTACGTAAAGGAACCTTATTTAAAGACCAGGACTCTGAGTCTATCAGCTGAGTCACATGATTCAAGAGTTTCATCTCATAGTCAAACTCTAGAATTCTCCAATATCCTGCCAAACAGAAAACCACAAAACAGTGTTAGAAGGATAACATTCACACCTTAATGCTATTCCCCTGGATATGTTACAGGAGGCTGCACATTTAGGTCCCATCTTTACGAAGTACAGCAACAGCATTCTGTCCTTTTCAGGATTAAAACTGAGAAAAAGAACAGAACAGTAAGAGCAAATGTAAAGGAGAAAGAAATGAAGTTATCTCAATTATTCATAACTGTTTACGTAGATTAACTGCCACAGATACAAAGACACTACAAATCCCATCACAAGATGACCTGGAAAAAATAATTAATTCAGACACAGAACTGCATCAACAGAACTGGCTGCACTGGCCCTGCAAAGTGGCAATTCGGGTCCAGCCAAGTTCACAGAAATCCAGATGTAGCAAAGCACAGATCTGGTACAATGGTGCTGTGCAGCTGTAAGTGATGAGGGAAGTAATTTGTGAGATTGTCGTCACCTACTTAACGCGACAGTATAGGGAAAATGGAGCAGAAGGCTTCCCAGTGGTGCTGAGTGATGGGACAGAAGGCAACAAGCACAAGCTGCAACAAGGGAAATCCCAGCTGATTATTAGAAGAATTTTTTTCCCTTTGTGGATAGTCAAACACTGGAATGGCCTGGATGGAGGCTGTGCAATCTCCAGCCTTGGAAATGCTCAGAACTCAACCAGCCGAGGTCCTGAGCAGCCAGCTCCAAGCTGGCCCTGTTCTAACGCAGAGGTTTGGATCTGATACCCTCCAGAGCTCAGTTCTGCCCTACATGATTCTATGACTCTAGGACTGCTGTCACTGGACTGGCGTCCAGGTGAGGGTTTGGACTTGGCCAAGTATAGTAGGATGAGTAGGAGCTGTCCTGAGGTGAGGTACTTGCTCTACATGGTGGTAGGAAGACTTCTGAGATAAACCCAGTCTGGGAGGAAGAAGGGACTATGAAAGGACTGGGGTTACATAAGGATCAGCTATTTTTGCCTCTACTGCAGAAAGCAGTACCCACTCATCCACGATGAGGGCAACCAGCCAAAAAAGATTCAAGCTATGGGTGGGATACTCTGATGCCAGTGTTTGTAGAAGCAAAGAAGGAATTACTCTGGAAAGAGACAGACTGGTCAATGCCTGCTCAGTTTTACCTTTTTGGTGAGTTTCATAGCAGCAGAGAATATAGGAAATATGGAAGCAGAACTTAGTAACTTGCACCTTGAACAACAAGAATGTCAAATGGGTCTTAGAAAAAGGAGACACAGATATTTTCACAGGTTATCTCCTCATAGGCAATAATATTCTTTATGGGTGAATACCTTCAATTCTGCAGGCATCTATAACCTGCAATTGGTGCAGTATTTCTTCTTCACTTGCTTGAATCAGACTTAGCAAATCTTCTGTTGTATACTGCAACGAGGGAAAAAAAAAGAAGGAAATAGAACAGGTTATCCTTACTCCTCCTTTGCTTCTGCAAGCATGCTAAATGCATTACAGGATATAATGAACGAAGACTTAGAAGATGGATTTTTTTTCCCCCAGACTCCGAATTTTCTAAGGTTTACCACACTCTCTAAAACTTTTCCTGTCACTTACAACATTTTCTCAAAGGATTATTCAATGCAAAAGCCAGCCTAACTACAGCGAAGTCTTTGTGCCACGCTAGGTACTATACCTGTATTCCCAGGATGACAACCTAGCCCAAGTAGGCATCATAAGTAAAGTATTCACAGCAAAAATGAAAAGTGAATGTGTTCTGTCCTTCCTAAATCACATATTTTAATCTGTGAGATACAAAGAAAAGATAAAACAAAAATCACTTATCACTTTTGGATAGAAGTCAGAACTCCAGCTTAGTACTTCCACTGAGGGAGAGCCTCCTCCAGCATGACCTCAACAGTTATGTGTTGTCTTTTGGTGCCTGCTAACCAATTAGCAGACATGTAGCACAGACCCAGCCACAGTACATACAGCTCCTTGCAGAACAGTTACTTGGGAGGGATTTAGGAGACACAGGAGGAACAGAAGGTATCATGAGGAGTGAAGTAAAGGGAAGGAACACAAGACTTAAATCCATAGGAAACAGGGCTTCATCAGTTCCTTTATTCACCTTACAGCCTTTTTGATCAACTCTAATATTAAAGTTTTGTTGATTATAGTGTAAGAATATCTCCTATCAAAACAAGAAAAATATTGGATGAGGTACTTGAGATCTATTAGACTATGGGAACACAAATGGAACAACACTAAATTTGGAACATCCAAATGTTAAAAAAAACATTCAATAAGTACAGAAAGGTCTCCTCTTCCTGCTGTGCCATCCCTATTAGACAGTATAGAATCGCAGAATTGTTTAGGTTGGAAAAGACCTTTAAGATCATCAAGTCCAACCATGTTGAACCACCATCAGGCTGAGCAGCACTGAACGGGCATCAGTATTTCAGCAAGGGATGACCATATTATTACAGTACTTTAAAAAACACTGCTAGCAATTGAGAGCAAAAATATCCCCGGGTCAGTATTCAAGTGTGTTTCAGAGTTAGATCCTGCCATGCAGATAAGACCCTGCACAGGAGTCCTTGGCATTGTCCTGGTTTCGGCTGGGATAGAGTTGATTTTCTTCCTAGTAGCTAGCATAGTGCTGTGTTTTGGATTTAGTACTACAAGAATCATAGAATCATAGAATGTTTAGGGTTGGAAGGGACCACTAGTGGTCATCTAGTCCAACCCCCCTGCAGTGAGCAGGGACACTGCTAACTAGATCAGGTTGCTCAGAGCCCCATCCAACCTGGCCTTGAATGTTCCCAGGGATGGGGCCTCCACTACCTCTCTGGGCAACCTGTTCCAGTGTTTTACCACTCTCATTGTAAAAAATTTCTTCCTTACCTCTAGCCTGAACCTACCCTGTTCTAGTTTAAAACCATTTCCCCTTGTCCTAACACAGCTGGCCCTATGAAAAAGACGTTCCCCATCTTTCCTATAGGCCCCCTTTAGGTACTGGAAGGCCGCAATCAGGTCTCCCCGTAGCCTCCTTTTCTCCAGACTGAACAAGCCCAACTCTCTCAGCCTGTCCTCATAGGAGAGGTCCTCCAGCCCTGGGATCATTTTTGTAGCCCTCCTCTGGACCCGTTCCAACAGTTCCATGTCCTTCTTGTGCTGAGGGCTCCAGAGCTGGACGCAGGGCTCCAGGTGAGGTCTCACCAGAGCTGAGTAGAGGGGCAGAATCCCCTCCCTCGACCTGCTGGCCACACTTCTGATGCAGCCCAGAGTACGACATCCCTTCCTTCTGGTGTGTCAACCTCACCACTCAGCTTGGTGTCATCCGCAAACTTGCTGAGGGTGCACTCGATCTCGCTGTCTAAGTCATTGATGAAAATGTTAAAGAGCACCGGTCCCAGTACGGACCCCTGAGGGACACCACTCGTCACTGATCTCCATCCGGACATTGAGCCATTGACCACTACCCTCTGGATGCGACCATCCAGCCAGTTCCTTATCCACCGAACAGTCCATCCATCAAATCCATAGCTCTCCAATTTAGAGAGAAGGATGTTGTGGGGGACCGTGTCAAAGGCCTTGCAGAAGTCCAGATAGATGACATCCATTGGTTTCCCTCTGTCCACCGTTGACGTCACACCATCATAGAAAGCCACTAGGTTCGTCAGGCAGGACTTGCCCTTGGTGAAGCCATGCTGGCTATCTCGAATTATCTCCCTGGCCTCCATGTGCCTTAGCATAGCTTCTAGGAGGATCTGTTCCATGATCTTCCCAGGCACAGAGGTGAGGCTGACAGGTCGATAGTTCCCGGGGTCTTCCTTTCTCCCCTTTTTGAAAATGGGCACAACGTTTCCCTTCTTCCAGTCACCAGGGACTTCACCTGACTGCCATGACTTTTCAAATATCATGGAGAGTGGCTTTGGGCGTTGTATGCGGCCATATCTCAGGACTCTGGGATGCATCTCATCAGGTCCCATGGACTTATGTGTGTGTTGATAACACACTGCTGTTTTTAGTTGTTGCTAAGTAGTGCTTACACTACTCAAGGACTTTTTGAACTCCTGCTCGGCCAGGTGCATAACAAGTTGGGAGGGAGCACAGCCAGGACAGCTAACCCAAGCTGACCAGAGAGCTATTCCATACCATATAATGTCATGCTTGGGGGTGGTTAGTTGGTCAGTCAGGGGGGAGAGGGATCGCGGCTCGGGGAGTGATCACTGCTTGGAGAGTGATCACTGCTCGGGACGGGCTGGGCATCGGTCAGCGGGTGGTAAGCAATTGCATTGTGCATCACTTGTTTTATATATTCTGTATATTCTCTTACCATTATTATTACTATTGTTATTCTTTTCTCTTATTAAACTGTCTCTATGTCAACCCATGGGTCTTTTTTTTTTTTCCCTCCTGATTCTCTCCCCTTTCCCATTGTGGGGGGAGTGAGCAAGCAGCTGCGTGGTGCTTAGTTGCCAGCCGGGTTAAACCATGACAGGCATTTGTTCCCCCTCTGAGGCCTGGCTAGCACTCCCAACAGCTTTTTTAAGAAATCACTGCTTTCAGCTATGACACTTTTATTCAGCTGCATCACCCTTGCAAACATAAAACGGAATGGTTTGACTTGCATCATGTCCATGCCAACAATTTCCAGATAAGGATAAGAAACATATTAAGTATATTAACTCAGAAGCATTCAATCATTTGAATATGCCTTGCCATCACACTTTAAACCCCAGGATTTTAATTTGGTGCATCCTGAGGAAACTGTGTACTAGCCTATTTCTAAGTTTTGCTGTAGTTTGCTAAATCACATCACTATGCATCAGGCTTCCTTACAGCAATTCCTGAAAGTACTATTGTTCCTTATGGCTCCTTTCCTGTAGTTCTTTGTGCATGATACAGTACAAAAAACTGAACACCATGAGAAGTTCACAGTAAGCCACCCAAACACAGTAATTTGTTTTCAAACAGATTAAAGATGGCTTATTTGTTGCCAGCACCCAATAAATACTAAGTGTAAGCAAACAACACAGCAAAAATTTTTACTACCTATTGTTTGGGATTCCATTGAGAATCAGTCCCATAGGGAAGCTAAGATTCATCTACGTTTATCAGATATATCTAGTTGTTCTCCAGCAAGCCAAAACATGAAACATTCTCCTTCAAAACAAATGGAGATCAGTCCTCAAACTGCATACTAGTGTTTGGGGAGACACTGACATGTTTTTATAAAATCAATTTAAGATTATCACTTTAATTGCAAGAAAGTAATTTATGTAGCTGACTCACCTTTGAAGTTATCGAAGTCTGATCTTTCCGACTATCTGGCCCTTCATACGGATCTTCCATTAAAAGCTTCCTCAGTTTCTTCAGTTTAGGTCGACATCTCCTTAATTCCCAATAGTTATTGGAGAAGCCAGCAATCTACAAGAAAAAACAGCAACTCTTAAAGCATTTTAATCTACCCTTTGGATTCAGAGAAGCCTAGCAAAAATTATCATCAAAAAGTATTAATCTAGTCACTGAGAACAAGAATTTATTAATAGGGTAATTACTGTACAGATTAAACACTCATTGTAATATTTTCAATAAAAAAATTTACTGCAGGCAATGAAGAATAGAAAACCACTGTTGGTTGATGAAACTATGTTCACAGTGCATATGACAATGGGAACAACTCTTCTCTACATGCAAATGATACAATATCACCATGGGATATATTCCTGCACAGTCCTCATCAACATTTCTTTTCCTCTTAATGATAAGCTATGCTAGTGCCATAAAACCCCTCCTGTATTACCCCGTTTCCACCTTCCCCACTTCTACCCATGCTTGGGATCTACTTCGTGGTCTTTTTACACCTTAGTGAATCATCATATCACTAAGCACAAGTAAACCAGACATTAACAGCACAGTAAGTTACACTTGCACACAACTAACAAGACATCTCTGTTCCTTACTCTGATTCAACACACAAATTTAAAGCATGCAACAGGATGCTCAGGTGTAATTGATTCAACAACACTAATCTAATAAAGCTTTACCTTCAGAGTAATCCTGAGGTGTTTCATGGGGTACAGCTGGGACTTCCTAGAAGATTCTTTGTAGAGGACAGACTATCGGAAGCCTTTCAGCATTGTTTCTGCCATTTACCAAACCAACAGAAGGGGACACAGAATGGCAAAACAGGCTTCAGGTACATGACTCCTGACCCAACCAAGAGCCCCTTGTAAAAAAGCCTCCATGTAGTATTTTAAAATACCCTAAATGATTTACCAGATTATTTTTATTTTAAGGACGTCCATTAGAAAAAAAAAAAAAAAAAACCCAACCCTCACCCCCCCCCCCCCCCCTCCCAAAACTGACTTTAAAACCTTAACAGCACCGAGATTTTCTTTTTTTTTTTTTTTTTTTTTTTTTTAACGTGTTGATTTTTATTTGCCGTGTGGGCTGGGCTCCATCCTCCAAGCCCAAACCCAAGCAGCGATGCCAAAAAAAAAAACCAAACCCTAACACCCCCCCCCCCCACAACTGAACTTTAAAACCGTGGCACGAAATTCAGGTAAATACTAATTTCCTGGTAAACTTCTAAGCTTTTTTTTTCCCCTCCATGTCAAATAGCATTTGCCCAAGTGTTAGATTTTTTTTTTCTGCCAAGTTTTTTTTCTGAGCAATTTGGTAATGAACAAGAAGGTACTCTGCATAGAAAAGAAAATAAATAGTTCTTATTTAGAATTCAAAGCTCATAACTGGAGCTGGTCTGTGTGAGGTGAATAAAGTGGCAGATGCTTTGGCCGAGAGTATTAGCCTTGCAAGTGGTATAAAGAGCAGCACTGAGACTGCAGGAGAAGGGCAGTGAAGCCCCAAAATACTGGGTAAACATACTATCTTTTGCTATGTTTCACAATTTGCAGTGTCAATACACCACGCAATGTTTTTGAAGATATTGAGAGAGCTCTTAGAAAGAAAACTCTAAAAATAATTCCTAAGCAAATCACATTTATATTCTGTTGCTATGTATGACTTCAGAGGACTATTGAGATCATTAAGCATAGCAAAAAACAAATATGGAAGAATATTACTTTCTCATTAATCTACTTTAGTTTGAATTAACTTCTATTAGCTGAACTGCTGACTTCACGGAAGAAATTATGTTGTTTTGATTATTACGTTCATCTAAGGACAAGCAGAATTACTCTTCAATTATGTCATTATATCCATTACAGCAAATAATGACCTAGTAATAATATTTGCCTAACTATTTTTAGTAGAATTTTATTAACTATGCTTCAGAAGAGCAGAGAAAAATGAATTCTTTAAACTGAGAATTCTAAAATCATGCACTCCCAACAAATCTTTCCAGACAGTAGTTAAAAGGGAGTTGCCTTTGAATATATTTCTGTATTTAAAAAATAATATTCAGGCATGATATAGTATAACCTGCCTTTTGGGGAAAGCACTCCTAAGAAACGATTTGCAAACAGCTTATGTTAAAAATAGCTGCGAACACTGAGAAATTAGATTTTCTTTGAAAGCTTTGAATACCTACCACAAGTAATTACTATCCACTGAAAATAAACCAAACTTTTAACTTCTTAGAAACAATAATTACCATGCATTATGGATAAAGCCCAGTTGCCTAAAGGGCCCTAGAGCCTTTTTGGACACCCTAAGATATAGTGTGCCCCTGTGTATAAAGCATATTTATAAAGACATCCTCCTGGGGCTGTTCAAAGAACTGCATCTTAAGTGGTATTAGAAGCCTATGTTTAGGCAACTGAATTCCAGCCAGGTTTCACATATACATCTTGGATAAAATACAAGAATTTATAGAGAATAAGAAAGTAGAAAATTAAAGCAAACAAACAAAACCTCAGAAAGACTTACCTGTGAATGAATAATATTACAAGATACTTGATCTGCATTCAGCTGTTCTGGAGTTTTGCAACCAGGAATAAACAGCAGCATATTTGACGTATCTGCTATTTTCATCTCATAAGTTTTATCTTTGCTGCACAACACTGCTTGTTCATCCTTTTCGCCCCGGATTACTAGGCTGGAAAAAAAAATAGCACAAAAACAAAGATGTATTTTTACCTCTATTTCAGGATGAACACCTATTAAGCTTGTCTGATATTTTTTTCACATTTATGCGTTGGTAAAGAAGTTATAAACTACAGTTCTATTTGGTAGCAGCAGTCACAGGATACCAAAATATAAAGATACAATCATCAATTAATCTAAAATATCTTAACACTATGTTTTTTCCTCACCTTTTTGAGTTTTCCCACTCTGAAATACAAGTATTCAAGGTTTTTATGTGGTCAAAACCTCCCCACCTGCTTTTCCCCACAACCCCCCCTAAAACACTGATTAGGTGATGCTTAAAGCCTGAACTAGTTCAGCAATCTTAGAAATGAGGTTGCAACGAGAACTGTTCTTTAATGAGGACTGAAATTGGCCTGTTGTGAAACAAGAATGCAGACAGGAATTGCGCCTGTTGTGCAGTGTCCTTCAGATAATTCCGTCTCAAAAGCATGCACGTTTTCTTGCAAGTAATTCCAAGCAGGAAAGAAAACCTTCTAGAGCATTTCAGTACAAAAAAATCTCAACGCAAATCCCCCTCTTCAGCTCACATGTAGAGATTCTTAGTGAAGACACGATAACACCGAAGCAGGACCACAACAGAGGACATACTCAGTCCCTCCCAGGCCACCCTAAATTAAGTTCTCAGATTCAATTTAATCAAATTGCTCATCTTGCTTCCGAAAGCTTGCATACATGAACAAAGCTCAGCCGTGCCCCAGTCATCCTCAGCACGACTCCGGCCTCTGCCCAATGACAGCGGTCAATACTGCACCGACAGGCTTAATGACACACAGCTCTGAGAACTATTTTCTTTAGAGGGAGTTCTAATGTTGTGTAAGTTTTAAACTTTTTTATTATGCCACCGGCACTGCAGCGAAGGAAGAAACTGTAAAACAGTATCAAGAGCTTATCCAGAAACTACTCTTGGTCCTGAGTTAGAGGTCACATTCAAAAGCTTATCTAGAACCAGTTCTTGGTCCAGAGTGAGATGTCACATCAAAAGCTTATCTAGAACCGGTTTTTAGTCCGGAGTTAGGTGTCCCATAACGATCCTACAAAATGCCTATCCCAACACTGTACATCCTTCGCTCTCATGTTTGTCTAACTTACAGGCACTCCGCCACCCACCCAGCCTCGAGCATTCCAGCCCGACAATCTCAGAAGCCAAAGGGATTATTTTAAAGCCACAATCGGCCTTTCCTACACACAATTTTTTTGGCATCTATCTTTATACGCCCGACAAAAAAACTCTCCTCAGTAAAGGGGGAAACTCC